GTGTGTGTGTGTGTGTGTGTGTGTGTGTGTGTGTGTGTGTGTGTGTGTGTGTGTGTGTGTGTGTGTGTGTGTGTGTGTGTGTGTGTGTGCATTCCTCGGGGACCAGAAGTACTTAATGTATTTTAAAAAGTTCTTAGAGTGTGTGTTTAAGTTGGGGCTGTGTTTACTGAGTGGTCTGCAGATGGATGGACAGACACTGACATGTTAATGGCCTCCTGTGTGTGTCGAAATGTGTGTGTGTGTGTGTGTGTGTGTGTGTGTGTGTGTGTGTGTGTGTACCAGCTGTGGGGAGTCCTGCAGCAGCGGCAGCAGCGTGGCCTCCAGGATGGCCGTCTGGTCGGGGGTCAGGCCGTGCCACAGCGACAGCAGCAGCACCAACAGGTGAGTGGCGCTCCGCAGGCGGACAAACGCCTCCTCCAGCAGAGAGCGGTTCTCCTCCGCTGCCTCCGCTAACGTCATCACCTGCAGGAAGAAGGAGTCCTTAATGGCGTTGTGCACATTTGATTGTGCACTGTAAACATCTGACAAAACAAATCAAGGACATAATTGTTTCTCATTTTTTACAGAAATCGACCAGAATCTTTATTTTTAAAGTTTACAACCAGATGAAACGTGGCTCGGTGGACATCATCAAAGTGTAGGAACGTGAGGAAACAGCTAAACAAAACGTGCTCTTATTACGCGCTGTGAAAATAAAGCGACTGTTTCAGCGCATTCCTCTTCTGAGGCCAGAAAATTAATTACTAAATAAATGCTGCAAATGTTCCCATTCATCACGAGAAGAGGAAATTTATCGTCAAAGTCTTACAAACAAAACAGATTCCAACACGTGAATCATCTTCTGGTTCTGGGAGGGTCTCGGCTGTTTGACTGAGAACAGTTTCTCCCGAACGCGTTGGTTTATCCCAGAAGACTCTCGAGCGTCGACTACACAACCTGTGTAAACACTTTTATGAGCATCAAGTCCTCGGCTGCTTCATTACTGCCACAGTCCGCTCTGTCGGGCGGCTGATTTACCGTCTCTTAGATTAGCCCGAGTTCACCCTGAAACAGCTTCATCACAACATGTTGCTTTTAGAGCCTGTGTGGTCACTGGAGAGCAACATTCAACGTTCACTGCTTTACACACCTCCGACTGACTTTATTTCTTTCTTTACACTTTGGAATTACAAGTTGAAATGTGTGTGTGTGTGTGTGTGTGTGTGTGTGTGTGTGTGTGTGTGGAGAAAAAGAGTGAGAAAGTCAAGAAAAACTCAAATGGAGCCAGGAAAAAAGATGCATTACAATTAAACTATTATATTTTTTATGTTGTTATGTTTCAAGGAGGTTTTTCCTTCACAGAAAACTCCTTTCATTACCTCATGGGTTTTATTTGACGGTGTTGTCCATAATTTCTATCAGTTTGTAAGTGCAGTGAGTCAAAGTCAAACTAGAAAGTTATTTTACGGTTTTCTTTTTTTCTTCCACATGACTCAGCCTGGGAATTTCTTTCCCCTAATCATCTGACGTGAATAATGTGACGAGTACATGAGGGAAATGTATGGAAACAAGTTGTTATCAATAAGATCAATCTCAAACTTTCTACTGTGTCAAAACCATCGACTGCCAAAACAATGGATCCCAATCAGCACAGCAACAGAAATGATCCTCCAGTGTCTGCATGGGTGGTTTTTCTTACTGTTGTGTAATATTAGAGAATCTGTAAATACTTAACGTCTCTAAAATGTGTACAAGCCAAGATAAAAGGTTATGAATGTGTATAAACCTTATAAATACAGTGAACTTCATTCAGACCACAGTTATATTCTGTGGAGCTCTCCCATAAGTATTTTTACACTTTTTAATATTTTCAGGTGGATTATTCCCCAAAGAATAAAGTATAAACAGCAGGAAATGAGCTTCAGTCCAGACTGTTGTATTGTGTTTGTGTTTCCAAAGTGGAGGAAGTGGATTCGTGTCCGTCTTCCCACAATCTATTATATTTTAGGGTTGTTTCCTGGAGTCTGCTGGAATTAAATTCTCGCTCTGAACAAACCGCACCACTGTTCTCTTGTTAGAGTGCTGGAAATCCCATTTTCAGGCAGTTTGGGATTATTACTGCTTCGCTTCTTTTTTTAACTGGAAAAATAAACTGCAATAAAAGGACAAAACACAGCAGAGTTCAAACAAACTGCCGTCTCTGAACTTCTCTGATGACTTCCCCTTACGGTCATCTGGCCTCAGAAACTGCAGGATTCCCATGAAACTACTCTGCTTGTGTTTCGGACACTGAGAGGAGCAAACAAAACCGTGAACACTTTGAAATGAAGACGAGCAAAAGCTGCACAAGTGGATCCTAAGCTCGTCTTGCATTTTACTCTGAGTACACAGCTCAGCAGTGTTTAACGGCAGGCGAGTGATCGCACAAACGAGGTGTGGTAGGACCAGGTGAACTCTGACCTCCGCCCAGGGGTCAATCCCTCCATCCCTCCATCACTGCAACAACAGAGGAGTGGAGATGAGAGGAGCGGGGCGAACGAGCGATGACAGAGCAAGACGGATGGTGACGAGGACAACAAGAAAGGACAAGCCGGACAAAGAGAAGGAGAGAAACGGGAGACGAGGGAGGGGAGAGACGAAGAGACGGACAGAGGAGAAGAAGAGGTGAAAGCAGATCTGGGACTAATGGACGAGTGTGTTGGAGAAATGAGTGATCTGCAGGCCTGAGCGCCAACGTACGCCAGCCACTTGTCTGACAAATGGATTCAGAGTTCGCTATTTGATACTCAGGGAAACAGAGCTGGAAGAGTCTGAAGTGAAGGGTGTGTGTTTGTGTGTCTGTGTCAGGGTTAAGCAGCAATCGCCAGAGGAAGCGTTTTTGATTTGTGTAAAACTAAACTTAAAGGTAAAAGAGAGCGAGTGCCTCCTCAATGACTCACACACACACACACACACACACAGATGTGAACAGTCACAGTTACAACATCAGTTCACTTCCCCTCGATTGAGCGCAGACACCAGAACGTCCACCGCATCAGAAAATGCCTCAGACGCTAACAAATGAATCGATGTAATGATCCGATACCACGTCTTTAAAGTGTATTAGTTCCCTCCAGGTAAAACTGCCATTTTCTACTCTTGGAAATCCAAAACAACAGTTCTGATGTTCTGCCACGGGCAAGAAATGTTTTTTATCACAGCAGCGAAGAAGAAGTGATTTCCTAGAGATAGAAATTGAGTAATTTGGACAAATTTCCCACTGGAAGGTCCCACAAGTAAAACAGGGACATGCACCATTCGTAAGACTTCAGAGTTTAGAGGGTGGTTCTACTTAAAAGGTTGTTTTTTTTTAATTTCAGTAACTGTAGCTGCAATTTAACGTCTATTTAAAGGAAGTAATTGTGTATTCTTATTTTGTCATCTCTTCCATACAGGGTGAGAAACTACAGCTGTTAAAATACGATGTTTGACTTGTTTTGTTTCACAGTCACGACGGAAAACATCTTTATTGAATAGTGAATTTATTTAACACAGACTTTTAAAAAGGTTTCAAAAAAGAGCAGGAGAGGATTTTCAACGTCCTCAAGTCGTCGTCACAAAGAGAGAAACTACCTGAAACTGGCACAAAAAATATCCATAACTCCCTCTGTATGAAGTCCTGATATTGTCCTGCACACTTTCGACAATGCAACACTACTACACACACACACACACACACAC